CACCACCAACCAATAACCACAAAACCGCCCGCGCCCCCCGCCCCCCCCCACGCCTCAAACCGGACCAACCCCACTCCCCCCGCCGCCCCCAACACCAGTTAAAAACTGGTGCATACCTAGATGTATATAAACTATATATAGCAAATCTAGTATACAATGGAATGTTCTATAATAGAGGAATACTTGGGGAATAGAGGAATAATAGAGTAATAGCGACGGACGGACCGGAATATATTTTGAAACGTTTCCTAAGACTAACGAGTGTTTCAGAAGAAATGAGCCTCTCAGTACTTTTCGAATAATTCTTTTACTTTTGACCGCATAGGCTTGAATGTCTTTTAAAAAGATTCGCCGCTTCATGCTCCACAAGAGCCATATTGAACATGTTTTATAAATCGTAAAAAACAAAAGAATATACATAAAATACTACGAGGCTGCAATCCCCATCACTTTCCAGTCCAGAAACACAACGGAGAAAACAGATCACAGATCAGCTTTAAACGTGTTTTTCTAGTTATTGCGTCAAAATCTAGGTGATTTTGCTAAAATTTGCCAGTAAAAGTAAACTTTTCGCTTTATTGGCTTGTCACTAGAAAAGAAATGGAACTACTGAACTTTCTTTGTTGGGATGTAACAGAAGAGTATAGAATTTTGGATGGCGAATCAATCTGAAATACTCCAGCTACTGCTGTTTAAACGCTTCAAGTTGAAGACGATGAAGATGTGCTTGTCTTTGTCATATGTTTGCTTACGATGATTGTTGTTGGTATTTACTTGAAGAATCTGGTTGATTTGGAACAGATCTGAATCGGCATTAGGAATCTAAGAGAAAGCATTGAAAGCGATTAAAAATACCTTGAGTAGAGTTCTTTTCTCAAGTTCCATCCATCGATTTTTTTAAACCTCCTGAAGTGACATTCACTCTGTCAGATGAAAAATCGTTTTTGATTTCTCTTCATTCACAGAGAGAGGGCACGCATCGAAAAGTGAGTGGAAAACGGAACGAAATGACGATAATGGTGATAGTGCACTGTTCACCTTCCGGAACTATTGGCAACCTCTCGTTTCCACGCAAAATCATTATTATGGAAGCTCTAGATTGTCAACGTAGTCTTTGGAGATCCACTCACGAGGGAACCGCCCGAGATGATACCCTCCGTTTTCCTTCGTTCATACCTCATTTGATAGAGGGCATCGAGCTGACAAAAAGCCTAAATGGGTTTCTGCGGAGGGCTCTTGCAGACCCGGTTCTCTGGAAAACCAGTTTTTCATAAACTCTAAAACTAACTGAAACCTTTTCTTAATGAGGTATGATTGTAGCCCGCAAATTTCTGATCAAAATGAGACATTTCCC